GCTCAATGCTTTCTTTGCCTTTGTCTTTTCAGACAAGGTCAGCTCCCAGACTAATGCACTAGGCAACGCAGTTTGGGAAGGAGGTGGACAGCCCTTGGTGGAGAAAGAACAGGTTAGGAACTATTTAGAAAAGCGAAACATACAGAAATCCATGGGTCCAGATTTAATGTATCCAAGGGTACTGAGGGAGTTGGCAAATGTCTTTGCAGAGCCTTTGGCCATTCTCTTTGAAAACTCATGGAGATTGGGAGAGATCCCGGATGATTGGAAAAAGGGAAATGTAGTGCTCATCTTTAAAAAAGAGAAGGACATTCCAGAGAACTACAAACCAGTCAGCCGTACCAGTCCCCGGAAAAATCATGGAGGGGATCCTCAAGGAATCCATTTTGAAGCACTTGGAAGAGGGGAAAGTGATCAGGAATAGTCAACATGGATTCACAAAGGGCAAGTCATGCCTGACCAATCTAATTAGCTTCTATGATGAGGTTACTGGCTCTGTGAATATGGGAAAGTCAGTGGATATGATATACCTTGACTTTAGCAAAGCTTTTGATAAGATCTCTAAAATATTCTTGCCAGCAAGTTAAGGGAGTATGGATTGGATAAATGGATTGTAAAATGGATAGAAAGCTGGCTAGACTGTCGGGCCCAATGGGTAGTGATCAACGGCTTGATGTCAGATTGGCGGTTGGTTTCTAGCGGAGTGCCCCAAGGATCAGTTCTAGGACCGGTTTTGTTCAACATCTTTATTAATGACCTGGATGAGGGGATGGATTGCACGCTCAGCAAGTTTGCAGATGACACTAAGCTAAGGGGAGTGATAGATATACTGGAGGTCAGGGATAGAGTCCAGAGTGACCTAGATAGATTAGAGGATTGGTCCAAAAGAAATCTGATGAGGTTCAACAAGGACAAGCGTAGAGTCCTGCCCTTGGGACGGAAGAATCCTAAGTTACGAACACCAGAGTTAGGAAGTGACCCATCAGCCGTATGCTTTATTTGCAACCAGACATATGCAGTTGGGGCAGGGAGAAGGCAAATAAAGTATAGCGCTATGTTAAATGTAAACTACTAAGAAGTAAAGGGGGAAATCAGCATTTTTCTGGGTAGTATAGTTTCAAAGCTGTATTAAGTCAGTGTTTAGTTGCAGATTTTTGAAAGAACAGCAATCAAATTTTGTTCAGAATTACAAACATTTCAGATCTACGAACAATCTCCATCCCAAGGTGTTTGTAACTTTAAGATTCTAATATATATATTGAAATCTTTCATTGTTTTCACTTTTGGGGAGATTAGTTGTTTAGCAATTTATGAGAAATATGTAATAAGTCTTCCATAGGTCTTTCATTAAATGTACGCCTTTCACCAAAAGAGAAGAGTTTTGGCATGGCTATTCTTATTTTAAAATATAGGTTCAATTAAAGGAAGCAATGAGTTCTAGTAATTACAATGCTACATTGTATGCTTTGTATAAATCCACTACTTTTAAAGTCCCCACTCCCCATTATGTAATCAATCATCACCCTTTAAGAAAAATCCACTAAATTACTAAAAACAATTATAGGATTACTTTTATTAATTCAGTACAGCTTTACGATTTGATGAGTTGCAAAATCATTATGGGAACATGCCTAAACATTAAGATGTTTTTTCTTTGGTGCTTGAATGTCATATTATTTGCTTTATTTTCCTAGAGAAGTGTGGTAATGATTGCTTTGTTACGCAAACTTGAAAAAAGGAGTTGGTACTTGCATCTTTTTTTCGCTATAAATTATGGTGGAATTTTCTTGGCCTAACTCCCATTGACTTCTAGGGAACTAGAATTAAGCCAATTCTGAGTGTTTTGAAAGCCCCATCCTAAAGCATTAAATAGGGGCAAGATTACTCAGAGAATTTTCGTTAAATTGAAAATGGTGAAAG